TTAAATATAATTATTTATAAAAATTTTATTATAATAAAATTCAAATTTTAAACGGACCTTTCTACCGTTATAATAGAGAGCCGTCCTTGGACTCTCTGCAACAACACAGATGCTGATTCGTGTACCAACAATGAGACGCTGATTCACGTCATCAAAAAAGCAGTGCAGGACACAGTTTGCTAACTCATTATTATGCCTTTAGCCCAAAAACAAAAAAACAAAAAAATGAAGGAAAAAAATAAAACAAAAACCCTCCTAGTGACACTGACAGCACACAGAATATGAAAAAAGATCTCCCAAAGAACCTCAAAATTGTAGGGTCCAACTCACCCCACAAGAATGATGGACCAGAACCTTTTAGACTAACCAGGTTGGGTTAACTTTTAATCACCCACATGAGTTTAAGACCGTTTGAGACTGTCAATAACACATAAATAGAAGAAAGATGACGAAAACAAAATGAGCTCTTGGTCTTGTTACACTACACTTACACACTTCCCCGTAAACACTATTCCCTGCTCGTATTAACTATTTTTATATTTGTACCGTACCATAACAATTGATTATTATAGAGTCGGTTTAATTCGTTTAATTAATTTGAGTTTTTAATTTAAATTAAGATATAATTTATATGAAAATATTTTATTATAATAAAAAAATTAAAGAGATATTTAATTCATAGATTAAAATTATGTGATTAAAATTATTTTTAATTTACGTATATTTTTTATGAAAAAAATACTGTAACAAATCATGAACTATAATTCGAATTAAGGGACGAATTCCTAACTAAGTAACAAATAAATAAAATTATTTTTAATTTTTTTTATTATAATAAAACTTAAATTTTAAATTTAAATTAATAAAATAAACGGAATTATAATTATTTATCACGTAAATATGGATAAAATAAATTAATAATATAAGTGTAAAGTGGTTTTAAAAAGCAACATCGGATACAGACACACACCACTACCACCCACCGTCATTCCTCTCTCTCTCTCTCTCTCTCTTATTATTGTCTACTAGAAATCTCCACTCTCTCTCTCCCTCTCTCTCTTATTATTGTCTACTAGAAATCTCCACTCTCTCTCTCCCTCTCTCTCTCTCTCTCTACTCTTGGCTGTCTGTAGTTTCAGAGTTTTGCAACATCTGCACAAAGGAGGCTTTTCCTCATTCGTATTTCGCCACAAGCTTTGCATCAAATCATGGCTACTCTTGTGTACATAGTACTTTTCTTGGCCCTCACTGGCTATTCAAGTAAGCTCCAGAATTACGGTGTTTTCTTTTCTTTTCTTTTCTTTTTTGCCCCCCTTATCTTCCAAATCTTGAGTCCAAAATTTTAAGATTTGACAAAAAAATCATTTTTTTTTCCCGATTTTCCTCTGTTTTGCTCCTGCTCTGAGGTGAAAGATTGATATGAACATTTTTCTTTTTTTTTTTTTCTTAATTTTTATTTTTCTTCTTTGTCTGGTGATTACATTGTCCATGATTTCTCTCCTTTCTTGTGCAAAAAAAAAAAAAAAAACCCACTTTCCCTTTTCTTCTTCTTAATAGAAAAGAAATGATTTCGTGTGGATTAACTATTTTTTTTTTTTTTTGGGTTCCAAAAAGGTGCGACTTATTGTATATGTAAAGATGGGGTTGGTGACCAGAGCCTTCAGAAGGCAATAGATTATGCTTGTGGAAATGGAGCTGATTGTACACCTATCCTTCAAAGCGGTGCGTGTTACCAACCAAATACCGTAAAAGATCACTGCAGTTACGCCGTTAACAGCTACTTCCAAAAGAAAGGCCAAGTCCAAGGAAGCTGTGAATTCTCTGGCGCGGCCCAACAATCTACAACTGCCCCTGCTAGTAAGTTCCCTAACTTCCCCATTCAAGAATCAAGACCACCAATTTAATCTGCCACCTTTTTTTTTTTTTTTTTGAAATGGTAAATGGGTAAAATTTTGCTTTTTCACTAATTGGTTTTCTGTGTCTTATTTATTTATTTATTCCTTTATTCCTTTGTGATTTACAGCCCAGACTTCCACTTGTGTGTTCCCTTCAAGTCCCAGGTATGTTTAGTTAATTAGTTATTATTTAATATGCTCAAAATGGGGGTTTTCCCCTGCAAATTTTGCTTTTTTGGAGTGTCTTATAATTGCCTTTTATTTTTCTTCTTTTTTTTTTTTGTAATTTTCTTTGGGGTTTTTAGTTGGTACAATTTCACTTTCTTCTTTTTGTGTTGCAACTACTGAGATTAAAATTTGGTGAAATTTCAGCTGGGTTTTGTGTCAATTTAGCAAAATTCTCTCCCTTAAGTACCAAACTTGCAAGATAAACTAAGGAGAAGTAGATCTAGTACCAGAAAAGTCAAAATCTTGCTTGCTTTTCTAACCAAATCCTAGGCTTTGATATGAGTTGTCATGATATAGAAAAATATAGCATTTGTTATATGTATGGGAAAAATCTCCCAAATATTATATTCTCCCTCTGCATGTTTGTTACATTAATACATAACAATACCTATTATTAAATTAAAATTGGTTAGAAAGATGACATTTTCTTGCTTGTGGCCTACTTTTTCTCTTCACTTTTCTCTGCAGCCAAACAGGCACTCCCACAACAGGCACTCCCACAACGGGCACCCCCACAACAGGCACCCCCACAACAGGCACCCCCACAACCACTACTCCATCCACAACTCCTTCAACCACAACTCCAACGACAACACCATCCACCGGAATGACACCAACCACCGGAACGACAACAGGGACGCCATCAACGACATTCAGTGGCATCAGCCCAACCGGGACCACATCATTCAACGATGGCAGTGGTGGCGTGGCGCTCTCCCCGGGCAGTTACTTGTTTATCTCTTCGGTTCTGACCTTCCTCTGGTTTTCTGGCTTTTTGCTGAGAAACTGAAGACATTTTTACCACCACCACTACTACTACTACTACACTAGGCCAATAGGGCATGCCACGCGTCGCGTGGTGGGTCTTGATGTGTGCACCAGATTATGCCACGACATGGGGGCAGACATATTATGGGGTTTTAGGGGCATAAATGAAAAGAAGAGAAACCCCACTAGGGTTTTTTTTATTTTTATTTTTTGGTTTTGTTTTTAGTTTTTGTTTTCTTGGTCTATGTGAAAAAAGCTGGGGAATTTGATTCCTTTTTTCAGTGGGGTGATATGACTTGGTACGGGGGGGTAGAACCTGATCTTTTTTTTCTTTTTAGAAATTAGATTTTTCGTCTATTTGTATATCTAATGAGAGGATCTGTATTTGTTTATTTAATGGAGCTCCACTACCCTAGCTAAAATTACTTAAATAAGTAGTTCCTATTTCTTTCTCATAAACTACTATAACTAGCATTCATTAATGCTGGCTTCCATATTGTTTTAGTAGATGTTGGCACTAGGCATCTTGTTCCTACTTTTGTCCCTTTCCTTCCTAAATTTAACAAGTTTACACGTGTTTCACTTTTTGTTTTTGTTTTTTTTTCTGATATCTTTGTTTTGGCCCATCTTGCTTCAAGAAAGTTAATGCATCTAACAAGAAGGGTTACTGTCCCACGGGGGGATGGCTCTTACAATTTTAACATGACGTGTTTACAGTGTAGCATCAATGAATTTAATCATCTGAAAATTATATTACGATTTTCAACGTTAATATTATATTTAGGTTATATGAGGGTTTTAAAATCGGAATTATGTTTTTAGTTGAAGTCTTTATATTTATTTATAAAAAATAAAAAATAGTTTTTAAAGTTTCTAATATTTTAAATAAGGATCATCTTAAAAAGTAAAATCACTTTTTTTTTATTTATTTTAGATGGTTTAAATTTCTAATTTTAATTTTCATAAATTATAGTTCTGCTTTTATAATTAAAATTACACTTATTTAAAGTTTTTAAAAATTAATATTTAATTTGAATGATTTTGATTTAAAGTTTGAATCTTGATATAATATTTTAAATAAGGATATCTTAAAAAGTAAAATCACTTTTTATTTATTTATTTTAGATGGTTTAAATTTCTAATTTTAATTTTCATAAATTATAGTTCTGCTTTTATAATTAAAATTACACTTATTTAAATCTTGATATCAAATGCAACCTGATAACTATGCTATGCTTTTCACTTTATTTGTTACATTGTCAGGATTGTCTTACTATTGAGACGGTATAGACAAGTCCTAATAAGAATAGCCCGTTTGGTTCATGGATTAGAACTATAAGATTATAATTATTTTTGATTTAACGTGAGTTTTTTGTGAGAAAAAATACTGTAGCGAATCATGAATCATGATTCGAATCAGAAAATGAATCTTCCAATCAAACGGGCTCTGTCTAAAAATGATTTACAAATAGTAAAGTGGATTCCCACCACTTTGACATAACAAAATTTAAGTTAAAACAGGGAAGTTCTGTCTTACCGAAAAAAAAAAGTTCCAGTCTGTGCTTTATTGGACCACGGGTGTTGCAGATTCTCTCTTTAGAATAATTGAGGTTACCGTGATCGAATCAAAATTCTACGTATAGAACTATTTTCATCATAAGATTACAAAATCAAATCATAATTAAACAATATTATTGATGAGAATTTAACATTTCAACTTCAATGTCCACGTTATAAAAAATGTTTTGTTTTTATCATAGAATTATCCATTAAAACAAGACGAAAGTAGATAATCTTCAATTAAATGAATATGACACTAACGAAAGTAGAACCGTTATCATTAACCAAAAAATAGGCTGGACCAGAACCAGATTTCTCTTGGATAAAATTACAAAATAGCTAGCTAGAATGGTACACGAATTTCAAACTACAGGAATTGAATTGAATTTTGACGTGCATGGCCGAAAAAGCCGAATACAATGGAACAAGTATTAAATTGAAGATAAGCTCTTCCTTTTTGTCACTCTTTCTTTTTCTTTCTTTTTTTTTTTTTTTTTTTTTCCTTCTTTTTCCACTGAAGACAACATTAAATGAATATGACATTTCAGGCTAGCATGTTAGACGTGTGAGGGATTAAGACTTGTGAACTACCTACCAAACATCTGGCCGCAAACTCTAAAAATGAGGCCTTTGACATAATGGACCCATGGACTTTATATCCCATTTGAGATGATAATATTCCTTCCGATATATCTCAACTTTTATCCTTGTTTTTCCAGCAAAAACTTTCACACTTTTTTTTTTTTTTAACTGCCTTTGATGTCATCCCATAAATCCATTGTTCTTCTGCGGAGTTCATATCAAATTGGTCATAATGTATTAAATCTGCAAGATAAGTAGCAAATGTTAGTTTCTTTTCATCCTGACATACCTTCTTAATTTGATATGATTTGATGGTTCAAAACTGTGTCTTACCAGTAGGTTTTCTTTTTTTTTTTGCCTACCACTAAACTCTCGAAAAAAAAGGAAAAAATTGTGGAAGCTTTAGCTCAACAAACTTCAAATATAAGACGAACGCAGAAATCAAATCAGTAATAAACATGTCATGTGTTTAGTGCTTTCCGAGCTTCTCTAAAATTCCTTTCACTGTTGGTAAATTTGATTTCTAGAAGAATATGAATAATTAAGGGGCAGTTTCACATGTTGTTCACGTGTATCACCATATCAAAGCACATGTTTAAGAAAAGCATTCAAAGAGTCTGTGATACAAAGTTTTGTTAGTTTGTTTGGGATTATATATATATATAAAACAGACAATCGATTTGCATGTAAAGGTGAACCGGATGTAATTACTTGCAATGACTTTTATGCATAATTATTGGATGCTAAATGTGACAATTTATTTACCTTCTGTCATCGTTGTTATGGTGAATCAAGTATTTCAACACAGACAACAAAAAAGCACGGATTATATTAATTGCAAAGTGACAGACTTTGAAACTATGACCACAAGGCAACCCAAATTTGAAAACTGTGAACATTTAGGAAAACAACGCCAATGGAATATGATTCAAGGAGGTATCAAGGAGGGGACCTTCAAAACTGAGATGTATTGAGCCCCTTCAAAGAAATCTCGTTGAGCAAATTCCACAATCAATTTGGCAACGCTGCTTGGCCTTTCAACATGCGGAAGATGGCCGCAATCCGGTATTTGGCGTATGATCGCATTCGGCAGTTCGCAGTGCAACCTCTGCATTATATAATAGACAAAGGCATCCATGATTGAGCCTTTTATTTTTTTGTTCTTGTTGAGATTTTCACTTAATTGTAGAGAAGAATACTAACCACTGCAAGCTTGTTGCTGATAATTTGGTCATCCTCACCCCATATGAGAAGTGTCTTCTGCTTTACCTGTCGAACAAGATTGTAGTTAGCTCGTTGAAAACAAAGCTCCAGAATGTTCTTCCAAAAACCATACAACCATCATCTTCAAGCAAAGTACTAGAAAGAAAGGATTTTCATCATCGACTATACATGTACTGCAACTTTGCAATACAATATTCGATTAAGTTAATAGTTGATTCATGTGTGGAATCCAATAGCCCTGCTATAAAAAGATTGCTTGAGAGGACCGATATTTTTGGAGAAATTGCATCCATGGGGGTTGGGACCTTTTTCTTTTCTTTAAAAGGAAATCCTGCTTTTGTGAGGGCAGAGAAAAAGTCGCATAATGAATTTTGGAAGTAAGCTTCACTGATGTTCTATCTCTCGTCAAGAGTTCTAAAGCATTTCTAAGTCTAAAATTCTATCTTTGCATTTCTTTTTTGTCTCCTTTTCTCTTGGTGCAATTTAAGAGATTAAATTAAAGAAAGACGCAACATAAAAGAAGCAAGGGAGTAGAATTTGCCACTCATATTTGTCCTTTTGAGATTCAGTTGCCTTGGACATAGCTTATCCACTTATTGTTAAAAGTACAATTGCCAATTACAAGGACAAAAAACAGAGGTGAGTATGGAAAAAAGAATTTTAGATGTTAAAGAGTCGGTCGGCCTACAATATATCATCCTCCTTCCTCCACCAAAAATTCCAAACAACTCGTCTCAACTGATGTGATAGAATAATTTCACACGTACCTGTTCTATTTGAGCACCGACTTTATAACCCCCACTCCTCATAAAATCCACAGTTGCATCCTCCCACCATGGGAGCAGACAATGCAAGCGACCGATCTAAAATTACATGAAAATTTGTGTCAGATCTATGATCAGGTGTGAAATCTATATTTGTAAACAGAATGTGCACTTTCTTCAAGAGGAAATACTTACATTCATCCAATCTAAGCTGGTATTGAATGATATCTCTGTGAATGCCAATAGATTCACATACAAACGCAAAGGGACACTCTTTAATAAAGACGCCTGCTTCAACAAAATCGTCTATTGTCATTACAATGATGGCTCAGACATATTAACCATGCTAAAGTAGTTAAAAGCAAAATCTTGAAACTGCTTTGCAAGACAATTTCTGCAAGACAGTGAACCAGCAGCTTATACGTATTTTGGTTGGAACGAACAATCATGAAGAGTTGGATTGCAATTCTCTTACCAGAAGCAAAGAAAGACAAACTAAATGATTTAATCCTAGTTCCATCTGGATAGATGTTAATTTTTCAGAAATCAGAGTATCTTCTTCATCGAATAATGAATACTATCATTGACCGTAACACTTGCATAGCCAATAAGCCTCAGAAAATATAAAACCACATTTCTCTATACAACCCACGGAAAGGACTCTAAACTCCTTGGTCATTGTGGCTTAAATAAAGACATTATTTCGAATGCATATACGGAATTCTAAGTGTGTTTTGGCTTTAAGACACAACTAGTAGGGTACAAAACTCACTCCTGCATAAGCAACGAATTTCGGCAAACTTGTTAGGTTTCCTGTGCCTTCTGCATACACACTCGCGTCAATCAAGACCAGTTTTTCAACCTGAAAAAAGAAGAGCCAGAAAATTTTATATTTCAGTGTAAAAAGCCATTATCATAGCAATCTTTTGGAATTATGTCCTTCTGTCGATTGAACAATTATGACACAACCATAAGCAAAATTATGCTGAAACCACTTACAGCTTCAGGATAGTTTACTGCGAAGTCAATGGCAACAGCAGCACCAAGGCTTGGTCCAACTAATATCATGGGTTTTTTGATGTAGGACTTCCAAAGCTGCCAAAATTGAGACAGCCCCAATTCAGACTTAACGTCATAGCTGGAAAATAGGGCACATTCCATATTTAGTGATATATTTTCTTCCCCCAAAATGTTTGCATATCCCCGAACCAAATATTCCGATAAGTTGTTGCTCTAATCTCTCCAATCAATTAGTAAAAACAAAAGGCCCACAATGTTACATCCAAACATAGAAAATCACATTCTCAAAATAATATGTTGAGCCAGAAAACCTCAATGATGAAGTATAGGAAGTACCTGATAAAAATGATGGCGCTTAGAGGCCACATCAACAGAGGGAAGTCTTTCTGACACGTGTAGAAGAAGAGAAAGTGCAAGTAAATAAAATGGAGCTTTCTACGATAGAATATCCCACTGGTGGTGCATGAACTTTATTGTATATGGTCAAAATCACCTCAAGATAAAGTATGCAAAACTGAGAAAAGTTGATACAGATGTTACGGAGAAAGGGTATGTACTCCAAATAAAATGCAATATAGGGAAACAGATATGCGATAAAGTGTCCTTTCAAAAAAAAAAAAAAAATGCACGGAATTGCACAAATATTCTTTTAGTAGGGATGTTATCAAACTTAAATAAAGAACCATAAAGAAATTAAACGAACCTAAATCAGAGAAACCCCAACCAAGAATGTCAACAGCCCAAGTCTCCAGGCCAGCCTCCTCAAGCAATGGATAAGTATATCTCCATTCTAAGCAGGAGCTGAATTATAAGATGCAGTGAAACTCTAAAAGACATAATAAGCAATGCCATATTATAAAACACCAGTGTATTTTTGCATATATAGAGACCTGTCAAAGCCGTGGAGAAGAACCACTGGACTTTTCTTGCTCTCTATCAATGGCTTAACACAACTACTCATAATACTATTTCCCTTCAAACTTACCTGCAATTAAGTAGGCTCAAACATAGAGCCATTAAAATTACTTCAATTATACCAAATAAGGTCATTTCTAGTTGTGCAGAAATAAAGGAGACTAATAGCAATATGAGCAAACAAATATTCACATTATCAGTCAGTCTAACACATGAATCATAGAAAATTTTCATCCCCAACTTTATAGGCTCATAACACACGAGCAATTCCATAAACTTGGAGCAAAGAAATAACGCCAAGAGAATTTAAAACATTACTTTTGTAATAATAAACGTTGCAATAATTTTGGGTGTACGTGTTATTTACCAGACTAAAAAACAGCAAAACAGAATATCTAAAACAAACAAACCATTCATCTGAAAACAAACAAAGGATAACGAACTAACACACATGCATAAATTAGAGAAAACAATGACTATATGTGTGTGTGTGTACATATATATAATATGTATAAGTGGAAGAAGAATGCGAAGAAATGGTGACGAAGTTACAGGTAGAGGAGCCGTACAGGAAGCCTAACAATCCGTGTGGCGAGCTTTCGAGCAAATGGGTCCTTAATATTCTCGACCTCTTTGGGAAGGAACGAAGGGAACCCATCAGACCGGACCCTCAAACGACGTCGGAACGTGCATTTTTCCGCCATGGGCGTAACGGAGCTGGCTGTGAGAGTTAGCATCTCCGTCACCGGCGGAGGAAGTTAGCCAAGGCTACTTTGCAGGCTCTGCTTTTCTGTGTTTCTGTGTGTGTCATTCGTTCGCGGAGCTGGAGCTTCTTGTGGCGGACATGTTGCCTCTCCATCTTTTTCCTTTTTTTTTTTTTCACTCTTTTCTTACGCGATTTAGTATCGCGTGCATATCACAATTGATTTTTATTTTTCTTTTAAATCGAGTTAATTTCGTTTTAAGTGACATTTTGGCCCATAATTTTGAAAAGACGTCCCTAATTTACTAAAGCATAGTATATTCGACTAGAGGTGAAAGTTTGAACTAGATTAAGGCTCTGTTTTTTTTTGTTGATTTGAGTTTAAAATTTGAATTTTATTACAGTAAAAAATTTTCAGAAACAGTCATATCTAACTTTTTTATTACAGTAAAAAGCTCTCACACTACATCACATCTCAACTCGAATTAACGAACCGAACAGACCCTAAATTTGTCGGTTTAAAGTCCAACACTGTTAGCCTGATCCAACCCGTTTAATTGCTCGTCAAACCATATCAAGATTCCGAGTCAGAAACTTTATTCGGGCTGGGTTGGCCTGGCCAAACACTTTTTCTTTAAATTTTTCTTAAAAAAATACTTCATAAATTTTAGACTGAGCTAGGCCGACCTTCCTCTATTTAGGGTAGGGCTAGGCCGGAGAGTTCAAACTTTCACCTCTAATCCCACAAGATGATTGTACAAAATTAGACAGACAACGCACGTGAGCTGTGCCTAGCATGTGCCGTTCAATTAGGGGACAATATGGTAATTTTGCATTAAATAACATATGATTGTTAACATTATGGATATAGGTGTCACTTTGGATCGGTGATACGTGAAGGACAAGTTTTATTGCGCGTTTAGATCACCCAAAACCCAAAGCTAAATAAGGTAATTTTTCAATTTTTAAAAAGTCTTTTGATGATATCGAATTTAGATGAAAAATATGTATTTCTTACAAAGAAATGGCCCAACGGACAATTTCTATCAAGGAAGAAAGAGATAAATAGGTCAAGACTTTGAGATGAATTAAAATTAATAGGCCAATAGTTTACATAAGTTAATAAATAGGCCAAATTACTGTTTTCGTCCATAACTTGTCTGGTTATGAACCATAACTTGACAAGTTATTCCCGGTTTTTGTTCATAACTTGTTTGGTTATGAACCATAACTTGACAAGTTTGTCCATAACTTATCTGGTTATGAACCATAACTTAAGAAATTATGACATATTAATTTATATAACTAAAAGTTGGCCTATATATTTTCTTAAGCTTTTCATATTGGCATATTTCCTACTATTTTCCTTCCATCAATTCATCATGACCTGTGACGTTTTTCGGCTAAATTACATAGTTTAGGCCTTCAAAATAGTGTTCTTTCTTTTTTCTTTTTAAGTAATTTTTGTTTTTGTTATAAGTTGACCAAAAAATTTCAATTCCAATTCTGATTACATTCCTTTAATCCTTGGGTCTATTACTTTCAGCTTAAGTTTAAGTTTCTTGTTTAAAACTTTCCTTTTTTAAAAATATTATACTTTTATTATTTTTAATTATAAATGAATAATGTCAGGGATATTAGTTCAAATTTTAACTCTTGTATATTAATTGATATGGTATGTGTAAAACTCAAAATTTATTTAGGGTTAATTTATAATTTTTAAAGACTTAAAGATAAAAATTTTAAAAATCTACACCAGAATTTAAATTTAAAAGAAATATGATAGTTAAAAATAAAAATTTTAACAATCATTATATCCAACCTGTTATATAGTGTCACTTTAGCGCATCCTTCATCCTTAGAAACCTCATTTTCCCCCTCTCTCTTCATTTTCTCTCTCTTTCTCCACGCAGGTCGACCCACCTCTGGCGAGATTCCAGCGTCCGTTTTTGACACCTCCCAGCTCGTTGGAAAGATCTCGTCGAGCTCAGTCCGGATTGGTATCTTTCAGCCGCCAACTCCGCCGGACGACGCCACACTCGCCGGCCAAAGTTCCAAAAAATACCTAAACTTTTGATCGTGATATCTTCGCCGTCCGGTGTCCGATCGAGGTGATTCCAGTCCCAATAGACTCAGAGCGAAGAGACGAAGAAAACCGTATCAGCAGCACGGCTTGATTCTGACGGAAATGCCGCCGCCCGTGAAGGTCAGATTTCTCACCCCCGCCGCCCTCGGATCTCCCTCCTCCGGCCGCCGTGAACGACACCGCCAAGCCCATTAGCTTCAGAGGGATCCAGCGAGTCGTTCTGGGCAACCAGTCGTGGCCACCGCCGCCGCATTGCCGGAAAACGAGCCGCCGCCGCCGTGAGAAAAATGGGAGGAAGGTTCCGGTGATCTAGCCGTCGCATCCTCGTTATCTTGGTGCCAAAATGCTCAGAATCTCACCCGTAATGAAAGCCCTCAATCAATTTTGAAGATCCGTGGCTGAAAAACAAATATTAAAGCTCAAAATTCAGCCGGAATTGAGGATCCCGATCCGAGTGGTTAGAGGCCGAATTTGGTAAAATTAGCATCACCATTGGATTCAGAACCATCGATTTAGGGGGTGTTGGATCCAAGTCCGCCGCGGGATTCTTCTCCAGGAAGCTCCGCCGCCGCCGATGGCCGGATTCTGGAAAAGCTTCGTTTCTCAGCTTCCCGACTTCCAATTGACAATCCGAGATCGTATCCCAACTTGTTTCGACGTGCTCAACGCAATGGCAGCCTCCGTTTGAACCAATTCTACTTCGTTAAAAAAATTGTACGATACCGATTTGCACGCGGATCGAGGCGAAACTGACCGGTCGTGGTTTAGAACACTCATGAGTTATTCCTAGCCGCCCACAGTCCCTCCGGGATCCCTTTTGAGGTAGGGGTCCTATTACTTAACTTTTGTGGAATTTTATTTTAATTTAATTAATTTTATTAAATTTGAGAAGAATGAAATTGTATATTAAACTTCTTTATTACTGTTATACGATATGACTTGAACAAAACCATTAAGGGACACGTCCTGTAGTGTACAACGTGGCCAAGAGATTTGACATAATTTTAGAATCTGACACAAAAACATGATTAGGAGAATGTAAACCGGACACGATAGTGAGATAGTGTGCTAAGAGTTTAGAGATGATGACGCTCTCCGGGGTTGAGACTTCCCAAGGTTACTGTACAGTGGTTGCATCTTGGTGAGGGCTCAGAACGACAGTTCACCCTTGCCCGTGGTTCGAGAACTAATCTGGTAGAGACACCGAGATAGAGCTCATTGTGATCAGTGCCTTTGAATCACCGCACCCTTCGGGGGTTTTTCGTCACGAGCGTACGGATTGGGTTAGCTCACCGACACTGATCATCTGACTCATTATACATAAAACATAAAAACTACTAACCATGTAGGTGTAATCCAGAAAAATAAATAAAACTAAACGTGAGTAATAGTTCTCCTATTGAGCATTCCCTGCTCACCCTTTTTCTCTTCCCATTCCTAGGCGGTGTACAGTGTAATCTTTCGGACGATGAGTAGACGTCTCACAGTGCGCAACGTGTTGGAGACCTATCCCTTCTTTCGGTCTTCTTTTTCAGTTATGTAAGATTATGACTGGGTTGTTTTCGATAGGGATGTGACTGATGATGGTTGCATCATTTAAGTATTTTATTTGGTGCTACATTGTACTGTGGATTTCTAGTTTTATTTTGTTTTGTCAATTTGTGATTTTTAATTATGAGTTTTTCGTTAAAAGTCTCATGGGCACTTGTCGTTTATATTTTGAGAGTTATATTTTATTTTTATTTTTGTTTGCCCATCATATTTTATAATCTTATTGCATAACCCCCACCTAGGGGTGTTACAAATTTTGGTATCAGAGCGGGTCATACAGATTCTTAAAGATGTGCTTCGTGCATGTATTTTGGACTTTGGGGGCAGCTGGGGTGAGTACCTACCAAATGTTGAATTTGCCTATAATAACATTTATCAAGCTAGCATTGGAATGAATCCATTTGAGGCTCTGCATGGCAGACTCTGCAAATCTCCTTTATGTTAGGCTTAGAAACGAAGCTTAGCCGAAATTCGGCCACCAGCGGCGGCGGTGCTACGGTGGAGCTTCCCGAAAAAAAATCCCGCGGCGGACTTGGGGTAGGACCCCTCCTAAATCGATGGTTCTGAATCCAATGGTGATGTTAATTTTACTAAATTTGGCCTCTAACCACTCGGATCGGGATCCTCAATTCCGGCTGAATTTTGAGATTTGAATTTTTGTTTGTTAGCCACGGATCTTCAAAATTGATTGAGGGTTTTCATTACCTGTGAGATTCTGAGCATTTTGACACCAAGATCACGAGGATCCAATGGCTAGATCACCGGAACCATCCTCCCATTTTTTTCACGGCGGCGGTGGCTCGTTTTCTAGCAATGCGGCGGCGGTGACCACGGCTGGTGGCCCAGAACGACTCGCTGACTCCCTCTGAAGCTAATGGGCTGGGCGGTGTCGTTCACGGCGGCCGGAGGAAGGAGATCCGAGGGCGGTGGCACTCCGGTCAGAATCAAGCTGTGCTGCTAGTACAGTTTTCTTCGTCTCTTCGCTTTGAGTCTATTGGGACTAGAATCACCTCGATCGGACACCGGACGACGAAGATATCACGATCGGAAGTTTGAGTGTTTTTTAAAACTTTGGGCGGCGAGTGTGGTATCGTCCGGCGGCTGGAAGACACCAATCCGGACTCAGCTCGATGAGATCTTTCCAACGAGCCGGGAGGTGTCGAAAACGAACGTCAGAATCTCACCGGAGGTGGGTCGGCTGTGCGTGGAGAAAGAGAGGGAAAATGAAGAGAAAGAAGGAAAATAAGGGTTTCTGATTGGTGAGGATGAGAGATACGCCCAAGTGGCACTAAATAACAAGTTGTGTATGCTGACTGTCAAAATCTTTATTTTTGACCCCCACTTTTCTCTTAAATTCGAATTCTGGTTCAAATTTTTAAAATTTTTACGCTTTAAGTCCTTAAAAATTACAAATTGACCCCAAATAAATTTTGGGTTTTACAGCTTCATCCCCCTTAAGAAATTTCATCATCGAAATTACAATTACAACTGTATTCAGAGTAGATAAAGGTACTTTTTTTGCATCTCTGACTCAAGCTCCTAAGTAGCTTCCTCATCTCTATGATACTGCCATAAAACTTTTACCAAGGAAATCTCACGACGACGCAGAATCTTAATCTCACGTTCTAAAATTCGAACAGGAAATTCCTCGTAAGTCGTGTCTACCTGGATCGGGACATCTGTCCATGTTATTATCTTAGACGGATCTAGTTCGTACTTCCGTAGCATCGACACATGGAAGACGTTATGAACATGAGACAATTGAGATGGTAGGTCTAGGCGGTATACAATTGGTCAAATTCGCTCTAGTATCTGAAATGGCCCTGTGTATCTCGGTGCAAGCTTGCCTCGAATACCAAAATGAGAAACATCGCGTTTTGGGGTCACTTTTAAGAACACAAAGTCTCCAATCTCAAACTCCAACGGTTGTCTCCGGTAATTTGCATAACTTTTTTGTCGACTCTGAGCAGCTTTGAGGCGATCATGAATAAATTGAACCCTATCTGTCGTTTCCCGTATAAACTGAGGCCCAAGATTAATGCGTTCCTCTTTCTCAGCCCAACATAAAAGAGATCTGCAGGGTCTACATACAGAGCCTCAAATGGATCTATTACAATGCTAGCATGATAGTTGTTATTATAGGCAAATTCAGCATTTGGTTGGTACTCACCCCATCTGCCCCCAAAGTCCAAAATACAAGCACGAAGCATATTTTCAAGAATCTGTATGACCCGTTCTGATTGGCCATCAGTCTGAGGATGAAAAGCAGTGCTAAATCTCAACTCAGTTCCCAAAGCATTATGTAATCCTTTCCAAAACTTGGAGGTGAATCGAGCGTCACGATCAGAGACAATAGACATAGGGACACCGTGTAACGTGACTACCCTCTCGATGTACAATCGACACAGCTTGAGAACCTTATAATCAGCTCTTATAGGAATGAAATGGGCAGTCTTCGTCAGGCGATTCACGACAACCTATACAACATCATACCCCTCTTGGGTTCTAGGTAATCCCGTGATGAAATCCATTGTCATGTGGTCTCACTTCCAATCAGGAATAGGTAAGGGCTGCAACTCGCCACCAGGTCTCTGATGATCCGCTTTGACCTGCTTACATATTGCACATTTAGCCACAAAATTGGCAACGTCGTGTTTCATTCCACACCACCAGTATTGCCTTTTCAAGTCCATGTACATTTTAGTGCTCCCAAGGTGAATGGAAAACCTAGAACGGTGAGCTTCATACAACACGGCATCCCGGAAGGAATGTGGGCGGCTAGGAATAACTCCCGAGTGTTCTAAACCACGAACGAGTCTCTGTCTCATCGGTTAGCTTCGCCACGATCGGTACTGTATGACTTTTTCAATGAAGTAGAATTGGTTCAAACGGAGGCTGCCATTGCGTTCAGCACGTTGAAACAAGTCGGGATATGGTCTCGGATCGTCAATCGAAAGTCGGTAAGCTGAGAAACGAAGCTTTGCCAGAATTCGGCCACCGGTCAGATGTCTTGATCCAGGTAGACACGACTTACGACGAGTTTCTTGTTCGGATTTTAAAACGTGAGATTAAGATTCTACGTCATCGTGAGATTTCCTTGGTAAAAGTTCTATGGCAATATCATGGAGATGAGGAAGCTACTTGGGAGCTTGAGTCAGAAATGTAGAAAAAGTACATTTATCTACTCTGAATACAGTTGTAATTGTAATTTTGAGGATAAAATTTCTTAAGGGGGATGAAGTTGTAAAATCTTAAATTTATTTGGGGTCAATTTGTAATTTTTAAGGACTTAAGCGTAAAAATTTTAGAAATCTGGGCTAGAATTCAAATTTAGGAGAAATGTGAGGGTAAAAAATAAAAATTTTGACAGTCAACATGCCCAACCTGTTATTTAGTGCCACTTGGGTGTATCTCTCATCCTCACCAATTAGAAACCATCATTTTCCCTCTCTCTCTTCATTTTCTCTCTCTTTTTTTCTCTTTCTCCACGCACGATCGACCCACGTCTGGCGAGATTCCGGCATCCGTTTTCAACACCTCCCAGCTCGTTGGAAAGATCTTGTCGAGCTGAGTCCGGATTGGTGTCTTCCAGCCGCCAACTCCGCCGGGCGACACCACACTCGCCGGCCAAAGTTCTGAAAAACACCCAAACTTCCGATCGTGATATCTTCGCTGGAATCCGGCCACCAGCGGCGGCTTCGTTTCTCAACTTTCCAACTTTCGATTAATGATCCGAGACCATATCCCGACTTGTTTCGACGTACTGAACGCAATGGCGGCCTCCGTTTGAACCAATTCCACTTCGTTGAAAAAGTCGTACGGTACCGATTTGCACGCGGATCGAGGCGAAGCGGACTGGTGGGACAGAGACTTGTTTGTGGTTTAGAACACTTGGGAGTTATTCCTAGCCGCCCACAGCCCCTTTGGGATCCGTTTTGAGGTAGGGGTCTTATTACTTAACTTTTGTGGAATTTTATTTTATTTAATTAATTTTGTTAAATTTGAGAAGAATGAAATTGTATATTAAACTTCTTTATTACTATTATACGATATGACTTGAACAAAACCATTAGGGGGCCCAACCTGTAGTGTACAGCGTGTCCAAGAGATTTGACATAATTTTAGAATCTGACACAAAAGCATGGTTAGGAGAATGTAAACCAGACACGATAGTGAGATAGTGTGCTAATAGTAGGTGTGGCCGTTCACCACCCCTGGGTGTGAACCCAAAAGGTAAAAGAGTGGAGAGGTGATGACGCTCTCCGGGGTTGAGACTCCTTAAGGTTACTGTACAATGGTTGTGTGTTGGTGAGGGCTTGGAACGACAGTTCACCCTTGCCTGTAATTCGAGAACTGATTTGGTAGGGATGTCGAGATAGAGCTCCTTGCTACCAGTGTCTCCGAATCACCGCGCCCTTCGGAGGTTTTTCGTCACGAGCGTACGGATTGGGTTAGCTCACCGACACTGATCATCTGACTCATTATACATAAAACATAAAAACTACTAACCATGCAGCTTTAATCCGGTAAAATAAATAAAACTAAAAGTGAGTAATAGTTCTCCTACTGAGCATTCCCTGCTCACCCCTTTTCTCTTTTTATTCCCAGGCGGTGTACAGTGTAATCTTTCGGATGAGGAGTAGATGTCTCACAGTGCGCAACGTATTGGAGACTTATCCCTTCTTTCAGTATTCTTCTTCAGTTATGTAAGATGCTGACTGGGTTGTTTTCGACATGGATGTGACTGATGATGGTTTGATCATTTAAGTATTTTATTTGGTGCTACATTGTACTATGGATTTCTAGTTTTATTTTGTTTTGTCGATTTGTGATTTTTAATTATGAGTTTTTCGTTAAAAGTCTCATGGGCACTTGTCGTTTATATTTTGAGAGTTATATTTTATTTTTATTTTCGTTTGCCTATCGTATTTCTAATCTTATTGCATAACCGCCACCTAGGGGTGTTACAGTATGTGAGTTGTTATTTTTATATTAGTGGATGTTTAAAATATTACTATGTAAATAAATGAAAGACATCTACTAATAAAAAGATGTCAACTCGCATGCCACATCAGTTGGTATACAAAAATTAAGATTTGAATTGGTGTATCTAACATTACTCATTATAAATAGGTTACTTTTCTATATATGTTTTGCTTAGAAATTCAGACGCCCTCTTATAATGAAAACTAGTGATTTCCAATGAAATTTTGAAAATAAATTTTAATTGTTTTGTTCTGTTATTTTTCAAACTATATTGCTTACAATAGGAAAAATTCATTAAAAGACATTCATGCTATATTGCACTCATACAAGTCCTGAGAAGGTTAATACTTGGGGCCAGAGGAGGGGGTTAAATGTATATGAGACACTATATATATATAGATAAACATTAATCTATACATTTAAACATTAATACAGATATTTATTCAAAAAATAGCAGTATATATAGGCTTTTTTTTATTATACTCTCCGATGTCGATATTCCCTGTAATAATTGTCATATTATCAACTACATGTTAAATTGGAAGGAATAAAACCTATAATATTATATATATATATATATATATATATCAAAACATGGAATTTGAGGTAATTAGATAGTTATTGTTGGTTTCTGCCACTCTTTCTATGCGAATAATAGGAAATTGTAAGTTGACGCACTTATAACCTGCTATAGGTTTGATTTCTTATTCTATCAGCAACAAACAAGGGAAAAGGAGAAGAATACTGAAAAATCAAAAGATTACAGAATGTGCATTTAATATCATCGCAATTTCCATTGTATTATGTATAATAGTACAAGCACATTGGAAAGACATTTTTCTATAATCATCAATCCCTGAAATTTCCTGAAATTATGCCGAAAATGTCACACCATGTACATGTTTCAGCACCTAACTACCTAAGGAAAGCTAAAGTTAGAGTGAAAAATTTCCAAGGAGTTCTTTCAGATAAATAATATTGGTAATGCATGTGTTTGAACGAACTATTAATAAAATATATTCATAGTTTGGAAATGCTAAATTGTAAGGAATTTTCTCGTGATTTTACATGAAAATTGCGCTATATATAGTACATCTGATAGAGTCAATTTATAAACGTTAAATTTAATTAAAATTATAATATATTAAAAAAATATGCATAGAGACAACTTCTAGTATATATATAATAAATTTAACAATTGATAGTTTGTTTTTGTTAGTGCTATCGGAGAAATTGCTTATAAGAACTCCTTATAAGTACCCTGCCCAAAATTCATTCTAACTCATGCCTCTTTATTTAAAAAGCAGTCTGTAGCATTGAGTAAAAATAAAATAAAAAAATAAAAAATAAAAAGATCTTAGCCTCTTACCGCCAAAGCGTACTGCAAAAGCGCCAAGCACTATATAACATATATTGAAACTGCAGTCAGAGATCCGATCCTTTCCGTACAATCTCCCATGAATCACGAGCAAGAGCAACAGCAACTGCCCAGGCCTCCGGCAACGACTCCGACTCCGACTCCGTCGCCGGCGCCGGTCACTAGTGGCGAGTCATCGTCTGGTCTTGCAGTATTCATGCTATTCATCGGTGTTTTCGCCGTGGTAAGAACCTCCATCGCAGTTTCCGTTTGGATTTTGCTTTTTGTCTGAATCGGCAATTTCATCGATCAGTTCAATCTACCGCTTTTTCGTTTCCATTTGGTTCTGTTTTCGGATATTGTGTTACTCCGATTGATCTTTGTTATGTCGGTTTCCGTTTTCGATTACGTTCGTTTTTTTTCCGAATATCAACCTGCTTGCGTTAAAATCTAGGGTTATTAACTTTTTTCCCCTAAATCATCCTTTTCTTAATGCGTTCCTCATTTAGAAACTTACATTGATTGCCATCTCATAGATACTTAATTTTTCTCGTTTATTGAATAATAGATTTCATCTAATTCAATGTTTTTCTACGTTATACAGTTTCTGCTCTCGTGTTGTTAATTTCTATGAATATACTTCTAAGTATACTTTTGTGCTCCACTATATTCTCCATTAAAGAGTTCTCCATTTTTGCTTAAGAATCAAATTTGTGCATGTTTTCCAGGCTTCATTGGTGTGAATATACTTTTGCTTTAATTTCTTATTCATTACATTCTAGACTTTTTTTTTGTTTGCTTTTAGAACTCGGCTTTGCTGTTAGAAGCTTGAAATTGTTCAAAGAATATTTCTAGAATTTGTTTTGTTTGCTTTTAGAACTCGGCTTTGGTATTAGAAGCTCTGAAATTGTTCAAAGAATATTGAGTCCTATTTGATGAATTTTCCATGGTTCGTCAAAAGATTATAGCAAAGTTGACAATATAGGAATTCCTTGAATCATTGCTAAATGGATATCTTGATAAATATAGATAGCGATGTCATCGACCTTAAGTGGTAGTAATAGCTTAGCCATTTTGCACCAAGTCCCAGAAGGTCATGTTGGGGTGTATTGGAGAGGAGGTGCCCTTCTGAAGACAATTACCGATCCAGGTACTTTTCTCATTCTTCTGAGTTTGCAAACGATTGTTTCTTGGCATACATGTGCTCATGTAGTATCTTCAGGTTTTCATGTCAAGATGCCTTTGATAACCCAGTATGAGCCTGTTCAAGTAACCATTCAGACAGATCAAGTAAAGTTGCTTCTCAAGTCCTTGAATTCATAGACTTTTGATTTCAGAATGTTAATACTTTTATATTTCTCAAAAAAATAAAAAAAAATGCAGGTGAGGGATATTCCTTGTGGTACCAAAGGAGGTGTCATGATCACTTTCGAGAAGATAGAGGTATGCCTGTCAGGTTTTACTCCTTTTCTGACAAGAAGTCTGACCGAGGTTTTAACATTTTCTCTCTTTAAGTACTGATTGGAATGCTTTCTTCAGGTTGTTAACCGGCTTCGTAAGGATTACGTACATGAGACACTCTTAAATTACGGGGTGAACTACGACAACACATGGATATATGACAAAATTCATCATGAGATTAATCAGTTCTGCAGCTCTCATACTCTTCAAGATGTCTATATTGATGTATTCGATCAGGCAAGGAAAACTGCTCACTGAAGATTGTTTATGAGTATTATGATGATAATGTGGACATTTACTTTGACATTTACAACAGACGCATCTTTCTCACTGTAGATAGTCACCGAGTAAACAATTCCTTTTCTTTTGTTTTATTGTCTCCTTTGGAGGCTAGCAAGTTTATGTTAGTTTAATTTTGAAAACATTAAAATTTTCTTCCCTTATCATGTCTTCTGGTGTTCTCTGTGTACAAAGGGGCAGTAAGGTGTGTGCTGTTATATACACGTGTAAAGCTTCCGACTTTTGTGATACTCTTACTTCCTTTTGTGAAACTGCGCTTTTTCTTTGATATGAAAAATTCCTTTTAATTGTTTGAAATCTTTCCTTGACAAAGATTTAGACTGACAAATGGTGCATGCAATATTGCCAGATTGATGAAAAGATGAAAGATGCTCTTCAGGGTGATTGCACGCGTTATGCTCCAGGTATTGAAATAATTAGCGTTCGCGTCACAAAGCCAACTATACCAGAGAGTATAAGACGAAATTTTGTACAAATGGAGGAAGAACGTACCAAGGTACATTTGTTTTTTAAAAAAGGAAAGAAGAATTTTATTTATATTTCATATAGTTCCAGTTCCAACTTTATGAATATACATATTTCAAAATTCAAAGTTGCCTCTTGGACTATTGCATTCCCAAATTAGACCAGTGAGCTTAAGTCCCATGGGAGTTTCAATTTTATTTTTCCATTGGTTTCAATGTTAAATGTAGAATATATATGTTATCCCACAAAGAAAGGATAATTGGACATACCATTAACCTTTGCCTACAGTTGCGAACCAATAATGTCATTTCTTGATCTGTGTTGGTTTGACCATATAGGTTTTGATTGCTATAGAGAGACAGAGAGTGGTTGAGAAAGAGTCCGAGACCACGAAGAAGATGGCTATTAGCGAGGCTGAGAAGAATGCTGGTGTCAGTAAGATTCTCATGGAACAAAAGTTGATGGAAAAGGAAAGTGCTCGGAAGCAGCAAGAAATTGAGAACCGGATGTATCTAGCTCGGGAAAAGAGCCTTGCAGATGCGGACTTTTACCGGTGATAATTGCGTTCTTTTTTGTTGTTGTTTGGTGATAGCATATGAATAGGAAGTATGATATAAATAACTAATGGTATTACCCATCCTAATTACAGAGTAATCAAAGAAGCAGAAGCAAACAAGTTGAAGCTTACGCCACAATTTCTTGAGCTTAGATTTATTGAAGCTATAGCAAATAATACCAAAATTTTCTTTGGAGAAAAGGTTTTGATGCTCCCTCCTGTCCTCTCTCTCTCTCTCTCTCTCCCCAAGATTAACTGAATAGCTTTGCTTTGCAGGTGCCCAATATGGTCTTTGATCAACGATTGTTGGGGAACTACCTACAAGAATTTTCCAGAAAGCTGTCTAAAGAACGTAACATAGAAGTTGCTTAATCTCTTCATGTCTGTTGAGTACAGTTAAGTTTTTCAATGGTCAATCTCTCGGCTTGTTTTTTGGTGGCAAATTGGCAATCATAGAATGAACTTGTGTGAGAATGTAATGTTTGTCAAGTTGAATATCCGTATGATGTATTTCTCCTGTGCTTTTGATTAGCCAAACTTTGTCTATGTTTTGTTTTCGTTTCTTAAATTCTGTCTCATATAGTTTTGTAAACAATTATTTGAAAATAGCTCCATTTGCACGAGTATTTGAATCTTTTACCTCATTAGTCGTCTATATTATTTATCGTCTTCAAACCGGTCCACCGTTGAACAGTAGCGGAACAAGATGAGAACCAGTGCCATCTCGTCGAAAAGGTTGAGATGAAGATGGTGCACTCGAGTCATGGATTGAGCCACTGAGGAAACGTTGGTTTAGAGGTGAATTTGGAAGTTGTTTGAGGGACTTGATCTACATTTTGAGTAAATTGCACTCACCTTCATTTGCATGTTGCATCCCCATATTTTAATTGTAGCATTTAGACCTTAAATTTTACAATCCTTAACAATATGCCAATGCGGTCCAATCAATAACGGGCATAAAATAATGTTGAACTTAAAAAGTTTCAGGGTGGAACTTGAAAACGAAAAATTTGCGGGATGCATTTGTGTAAAAATCTTGAAAATTATGGTTCATTTATTGATGTATGTTGACTATTAAATTAGAACTGCAGCAAATTTTTAAATATAGGATCGGTGACAATAAACCTAGAGCAATAACATCTAGAAACGACAACCACAAAGAAACTTTGAAAACGACATGAAGTCAAATACGCAAATTACATGAAAAGCAGCAAAGAGTCAACGACCTTAACAACATCAATTTAAAAACGACACAAAATAGACTAGAACACATGAAGCAACGTGAAAACTGAACCTGGAAAAATGACAACCACCTTCAAAAGGCAAGAAAAAAAAAACCTTCAAAGTACGACACAGTCATCATAGTTAACACTTAACATGAAACGACAACATAAACGACAGCAATCTCGAAACAATATTGAACGCGACAACCATATAAAAAAAACGTCAACCTCAAAAACGACAACAATATTCAAACAATAATAATTATTAAAAAAAATATTTTAGGAAAACATATCAACTAGAAAACGAGAAAAGCTTTCAAAAAAAAAAAAAAGAAAGAAAAGCATAGAAAAGAAACTGAAATCAAAACGGAAAAATGAGACGACATAAGTCTGAACTGTTAAAAGACCATAAAAAAAAGAAACCTTATAAAAACGACACAACACAAACATCAACCTCAACTATTGGAAAGAACATAAAAAGCGGAAAACATATAAGAAAGACACAACATAAACATCAACCTCAAAAATCAGCAACTATCTCTATCTCCAAGTAAAAGAAAACGAACAACCTAGAAATATGACAATATAAAACGACACGGACAAACATCAACTTAAAAAACCAACGATCATTTTCAACCAATAAAATGTTCAGAGAACAACATAAGCCTGTGAAAAAGAAAAAAGCATATAAAAATGACGCTAATGCATGAAAAAAGACAGAAAAGTAAATAACGACAACATGAAAAGGAAAAAAAGAAAAAAGAACACATCAAACGACACAACATAAACTCCAACGTTAAGAAACGACAACAACATCCAAACCACAAAAACTTGAATTGACATCAATCCAAAACAAAACAACAGAAATGACACCACCAATATCGACAAACATAAACGAGAACACTCTGAAACCAACATTAAAGGACGACACACCATAAACGTAAACCCGACAATCAAAAAACAGAAGGTACAAAAATATTAAAACGACACGCACCCCACAACCCAAAAAAACTGTAATCAGGAGTCATTAGTTTGTGCAGTTACAAAATAGGCGTTATTACTAGGCAAAATGATAATGATAATAACAACAATAACAAAAAAGGCATTCTAGATTAGGAAAAGATGTATATTGTTGTGGGGTAAAATCTTAAACCCCACATGAGGTAATAGCTGTGTGCCACGTGGCGCGATTAAAGCATACAAAATTGAGACCAAAAGGTATGGAGTGGTAGTAGAGCGCACTTTATGGACGCTAACCCTTAACGATTAAATAACTCCGTTGAAGGGGTCGACTAGAGGGAACAAATGTCACGACACGGAGACGAATGCTTTACTGGCCATGAGCGAAGACTGCTTTGAAAGAGCTAAAGGCGACGAACTCACCCACGTCTAGACTGAAGTACAACTGTACAAAGATTTGACGTGCATTAAATGCATGCAAAGTAGGTGGTGAAGTCGGTGGAGAAAGTCAGGCAGACTGGCTGAAATCTTGGTGATCAGAGACTACTGTTCCGGAGTATGATGAAGATAGCACGAGATTTGATTAAATAATTGATAATTGGCAGAAGCAACATGATGTATATATGCAAGGAGAATGGCCTGAGAGGGATTCAGATTCTTGAACACCTCTCTCCTCATAATTTATAATTTCTACCAAGAATATTAAAAAACCCTCTCAGTGGACGTAGCTCTATATTAGAGTAAACCACTATAATTACCGGTGTTATTCTTCTTTTGAGTCCACGAATCTTATCCCTAATCAATTCATAAATCACCAAAAAACTCGTTATAAATTTATTGACTAATTTTAACCGTCAACATATATCAATCCGAAACTATTGAATTTCCTAAAATGTTTGGAATTTAATTGTTTTGTCAGTTCTATAGTTAGATGATGTTTTTAATTAGGAGCATTTAGTATTGTATGGATAGATTTGTCAAATTTCCTTAAAAATACAATTAATGACCAAACTTTAGTACAGACGTTAATGTTTTTACTAGCTCAGAATATTCGGTCAAGTTTACACCTGTCACCCAATTTGTGTGAGAAGCTAACTTCTCAACTTAAATAACTATGGACCAGAAAATAATTATGAGAGTAACTCGTATTTTTTTTTCTTTTTTGAATTTAAAATGAGAGATTTAAATTCTACACCTTAAAATGAAGTTACAAGTGCATCAAATTTTAAATTTACTTTGCGTGTGACCTTCCGTAAATAAACCGTTAAAAAATATCATTAAACAATGACTGTGACATGATTTTTTTTAAATGCAGACCTTTTTTATTTACCTCATTGGGCCCGAAGAAAAAAAAAAGGTGTGAATTTAAATATCTAATTACCTCTGCCATATGATTTTTTCTTAAGTCTTTATTTATTTTACAACTCAAATCACAACTTATATTTTATTATTACAGTAATTTTTTTTACAAAAATTTAAATTTAATTTTTTTATTACAGTATTTTTCTTTCACATACACAACTCAAATCATAATTCAAATTATAAATTGAGTTCTGAAATGAACATATCCTAAAAAAAATATAAACCAAAACTATGGTATATTTTTTGGTAAACCAGACATCGCCACATTTACATGGGGATAATGTATAATAGTTTCCCACGCATGCCTCGTTTACTTCGCAGATTCGAGTTTTTAATTTGAGCTGAGATGTGATATTTTCTGAAAGCTTTTCACTGTAGCAGAAAAAATTAAATGTGATATTTTTTGAGAGCTTTTTACTATAAAAATCTAAAACTGAAAACTCAAATCGGTAAAATGAACGAGACCTTAATCATTTCTATTTAAAAAGTAGTTTTGACAAATTACCATAAATCTTGTATAAGACATATTGCTTCCATGAGTATTTACTATTATCGTTATTGGATTATTTTCATAAATGCTCATAAAGTACATATCATGTTTTAAAATAGAAAAGAGAGTGTTTCAATTACAGCTTATGGTTAGTGAGTTACTATAGTGTTGTTCTTTTAGAGTGTAACTTGAGTGTAGTTTTTGAGTTGAATTTGAGTTATAACTTGAGTTGAAGTTGTAACTCGAATAAAGTTAAGTAAAATTGAAACTTAAAAGAACGTGAACTTAAATAAAATTTAAATTTAAATTGTCTTTTTTTAAAATTTTTTTAGGCAAAAGAACATGCCTTGTATTATCGTGAAGGCGGACGAAATACCCTCCGATTATTTAAAATGATTCAAAACACTCAATTTATACAAAATAGGTCAAAATACTCCCTAACGGAACGCTTTACATGCTACTCATTTGAAAACATAAAACATAACCGGCCTCCACCCCCAACGGCATAGTCCCTTTTCTAGCGACGATCAAGTCGCTTGCCTCCACAGTCCAGTGCACCGACAAGATGTTGAACACAGTCAAGAGGCATTCCCTCAGACTTAATCTTCTTTACGGCGTCGTCCTTGGGGAGTCCAGATTTGGCCATTGATGACAGCGCAGAGCTCTGATGATTCTAAGGAGTCGAGGAAGTGAAGGAGGGAGGAAGAGTGATTTTTTTTTTCTTTTACAGATCCCGTTTGTTTTTTCTTTTGCAGATATGGTTTGTGTTTTCGTTTACAGATCTGGTCCTTTTTTTTTTTTTTTTTTAAGATTTGGTTTGTTTAATTGTGCATTTCTAAATTTTGAGATGTTTAAATGAGGTTAATTTGATTTTTTTTTTATTTTTGTTTAAAAATTGGATCTGTTGTTCTTATTGTTAGATATTTCAGCCTATGGATTTTGGTTTGTATGAGAGGTGAAGGCGAAGAAGACGAGACTTTTTTTTTTGTTCTTTTGCGGGGTTTTTTAAAAATAATTAGTTGATTTCAATTCTATAGGTCTGTATGAGAAGTGAGAGGGAAGAAGACGATGTTTTTTTTTTTTTTGAATTGATAATTATATTCCTAATCATTTATTTTTAATTAAATTTAAGATGTTTTATGTTTTAATATGAGTGCCATGTCAGCGTTCTATTAGGGTTATAGATGGAAGTAGATGAAGGGGTTGTCTCGTTCACTTCGCTGATTCGAGTTTAGAATTTAAGTTAAGACGTGATTTTATGTGAGAGTTTTTTACTGTAATAAAAAAGTTAGATGTAATTGTTTGTGAGAACTTTTTACTGTAGAAAAATTTGAATTCTAAACTCAAATTAGCGAAGTGAATTAACTTATTTTTTATAAATTGAAAATGTTTTGAACCATTTTAAAATATTAGGGTGTATTTTAAAACAAAATATATATTTTAGGAGAAAATAATTCAATTATTATTTTATTATGTCAAAAGTCCTCAAATAAAACCTAATCTATACGTGTGTTCAAATTTTCAAGAGGCTACAATAAGCGAAGAAAGTCACATCAATCTCTCGTGAGATATTTGACTTAAAACTACCAGTAAAAACCAATCGTTAACAAGTGAAGTGGATTCCTAAAAAACCAAAAAACAGAATTTAATGTGATGACGGCCCAAGTTACGTGGGGGGTTGAAAAAGAGTATCGAATGGTACGCGGAACAAGCAAATCAAAGCTGGATCTGAAAGAATCCCAATTCAAGATTCCACCAGTTAAGCAAAACCCATTTAACAAAATTATTGGAATCCATTTGGTAGTTATCACAAAACTCTCGTCAACGCTTTATATCTCGGAACCTTTTTCTGTTATGGCTTTTGGGTTTCCCTCAGTTTCATGATCTGCTTCTACTCACAAAAAAAAAAGTACTTTTTTTTTGTGCTGTAAAGAGAGTGTTTAAAAAGTTCCAAACTTTGATTAAGTGTTGATTTTCACGTGGGACTTGGAAGTGTGGCCTACTTGCGTATTTTTCATTTTCCATTGTGGGGTTCCAACGATTTTTGGGTTGATCACTTTAAAAGGTATTCTGTTCTTCTGTTTGTTTGTTTCTTTTTTCTGATAATTTATTATGTCCTACGTATGTCGTTGAACACTTTAAAAGGTTTTCTGTTCTTTTGTTTTCTAACTATAACTTTATTCTTTGTTTGGGGTTGATTCTGAGTAAAGGATTTTGCTTTGTTATGGTATGTATTTGTTGTTCTGTAGAATGTGAATCCCCAACTTTTGGGAGCTTGTTTTGTTGTGCCAATCTGACGTCTCTTTTTATGATTGATTGGATATTCACTATTTTGCTGATAATGTTTGCATTGAAGACTTTTCACCCAATTATTCACATGTTAATGGTTTCTAGTATTATTCCTTATTTTCTCGAATGTAATATGGAAACCCAATAATGTTCTAAATTTTGTTTTATTTTTTATTTTACTATTATTATCATATATATATATATATTTTTTTTTTGTACAAGTTCAATTGATGGAGATGTGTTAACATTATTGTGTTTTTTCCTCCTTTTGCAGGATCTTTTTGATACAATCTTCTTCAGTACTTTACCACAAACTGAGAGTGGGCTGAGAATGTATCTGGTGGAGAGCAAAGGAGGCGCCGTAGCCTGTATGCTTCTTGCCCTCTTCTTCTTGGGCACATGGCCTGCCATCTTGACCCTTTTGGAAAGAAGAGGCAGGCTGCCTCAGCACACCTACCTTGATTACTCCATCACCAATCTCTTGGCCGCTGTGCTCATCGCGTTTACGTTCGGCCAGATTGGCGAGAGCACGCCTGACAAGCCCAATTTCCTAACCCAACTCTCTCAGGTCAGTTTCCAATCACTCCTTTTTGAGTTTCTAATTTGAATTTTTTTTTTTTTTTTGGATGGTGTTTTGTTTCCTTGTGTAATTGGGTGATTTGGGGCAGTACAATTGGCCATCTGTGATGTTTGCAATGGGAGGAGGGGTGGTCCTTAGCCTTGGAAATCTCTCCACTCAGTATGCTTGGGCTTTTGTTGGTTTATCAGTTACTGAAGTGATCACTTCAAGCGTAACAGTTGTCATAGGTTCCTCTCACTCTTAAAAATATATCTATACTTATATCATTTTAAGCTTCTGTGTTTTTTTTTCTATTGATGCCAGTTCTTTTTTGGATGTCTATGTCAAGTTTTGTACTAGTGAGTTACTGAATTTCTGGTTCTGTAACAGGAACAACCTTGAACTACTTTTTGGATGATAAAATTAATAGAGCTGAGATCCTTTTCCCTGGGGTTGGTTGCTTCTTGATCGCGGTGTGTCTTGCCTCTGCCGTCCACCCATCAAATGCAGCTGATAATAAAGCAAAGCTTCAAAATTTGGCATCTGAACAGAAGGAAGGGGAAACGTATGATTCTTTTGTTTATATTTGTTCATTAAGAAGTAATGGTTAGAGGAGAAATGTTTGTTCTTCTGGTTTCACTTTTGATTTATTTTTGGGTGATGGAATCTTGAGTCCAACAAAAGTTGGTCATATTTTCCATAGATTTCTTTTCATTTTCCTGTTTCCTCTTTACTCTTCACATGATAAAAAAAAAAAAAACAAAAGTATCAATGATACTGAGTGGTGCATATTTCATTACATTTTTATGTTTGACGTGCCATGTTCTCCACTGACATTGAGGAGAACCATTTGAACTCTAATTAAGAAAAGATGGTAATCATGTCTCACAAAATACTACACCATAATCTGAGTCTATTCCTCTACTTAGTATTTACTTTTCATTGTGATTTGTGATAGTTGTTTAACTAATTTTCATCCATTTTAAAAAACTTTCTAGTGATATCTTACATCCTATCCGTGCCATGATTTTTGGATATTGATGCTCTTTCCAAATTTGATTTTCGACAGAGATTTACAAGTCTCTACATTTGCAGAAAAGGGTAAGATTCTCTCTGGACCTCTAATCTTCTTTACTATATAGCCATGGTTTTATAAACTAGTAGGTCTTATCTTTTCCCTCAACATTGGCCATTCTCATTTGGGTTAGAAGATCTGGAATATGGCACGGTCTCTTCCACGAAGGCAAAACATGGGACCGCAGAGTTCCTTGTGCAGCTTGAGAAAAGGAGAGCAATTAAAGTTGGTTCCCAATTCATTCACTGATCTCTCTCTTTTAACATTATTTGTTAATCTCGATCAATAAAGTGATCATGATTTTCTCTGCAGGTGTTTGGGAAAAGCACTTTCATTGGACTGGCCATAACCTTCTTTGCCGGTGTTTGCTTCTCTCTCTTCTCACCAGCATTCAACTTGGCAACAAATGATCAATGGCACACCTTGAACGATGGGGTTCCTCACTTGGTCGTCTACACGGCATTCTTTTACTTCTCGGTGTCTTGTTTCGTCCTTGCCATCATCCTCAACATCACCTTCCTTTACTACCCTGTGCTTAACTTACCAAAAACATCATTCAAGGCTTATCTAAATGACTGGAATGGCAGAGGCTGGGCTTTTTTGGCTGGCCTTCTCTGCGGGTTCGGCAATGGGCTCCAGTTCATGGGAGGGCAAGCCGCAGGCTATGCCGCGGCAGACGCTGTTCAGGTTGGCTTGGATACAGTACACATCCCTTGTCCAGTTTTTCCGCCTTATTTCACGTCCTATTAGCTCATTAGACTACTGCAATAATGTTGTTCGGATGAGAAATGAGACAAGTAAATTGGGTAGAGGATTTGGATTCGAACTCAAACACATAATTCTCGCGTGGGTAAACTCGTTTATGCGAGTTTGGAATGAAATAAATTCTTGTTCACTACTAATTTGGGGTTTTATTTTTTATTTTTTTTTTTTTTGGGTGTGGTAATGGCAGGCACTTCCACTTGTGAGCACTTTTTGGGGGATTCTTCTGTTTGGAGAGTACAGAAAATCGTCAAGAAGAACATGCATATTGCTGATCAGCATGTTGTCTATGTTTATTGTTGCTGTTGGTGTTCTCATGGCATCATCAGGGCATCGTAAATAAGTACATACAGCTGCAAACAAGTCTGTACTTTTCCTTTTCTGGGTTCAAGGCATTAAAGCTCATATGCTGAAAAGAGCAGGCATTTACCGCAAGGGTGAAGGGATAAGTTGCCAAACAGTCGCATCAAGATGCCTTTTTTTTTTTTTCAAACTTTCTGGATGATTTTGTGCAGATATGTGGATTTAGAACATTTGCATTTTTATTTAAAAAAAAAAAAAAAAAAAAAAACAAACAACAACAACAACATTGCATTTTTGTCCATGTTATTATTATGGAATAGTATTAGAGGCTAGTCCTTTTGATGTTAACTTTTCTTCAAGAAAAAGTAGGGGAAGCACTTCAAAAAAAAAAAAAAGTAGGCAAAAATTTATTAAAAACAAGTAAACCAAATTAAAAAAAAAAAAAAAAAAAACATGTCAATGCTCAAGGCATGATGTGTTCACGTGGAATGTCACGACCTCAAAGATGAGACCGTAATTATTAGAAGAATTAAATTTAATTAAACGAGATTAATTAACAACTTAATTAAAATGGATTGATTAACGAAAACTATGAAAATAAGTACATAAATATTAAAATATATTGCTCCAGAGTCTTTCTTTTTACAAATAATATTTAAAACAGTTTATCGATCTAAGAAAAATAGTACAATTCTGGAACAATGTCGACTAATACAGTTTATATACAAAAATACTGTACATTTAAGAATTTAAAAATTGTAAATTACCACTTCGAATCTCGCGCGTTCAAAGTACACGAACCACTTCTAAGCCGGAGCCTTCAATCCATTGGCATCTACTTACCATGCTGTAAAGCTAAACCGTTAACTTTGAGGAAGTTTAAAACATTGAAAATATACTAGTAAAAGTGAGCAGAAAGCCTAGTAAGATATAATTTTATAAAATTATTTTAATTAAAAATGCTCACAGTCTGAAAACATACACCCGGAACCGAATTCTTCTGAGAAAATATACTTGCATAGTAACAGTCGCAAAATAACTTAATAATGAGCATATTGCAAAGTTATGATATCACCACTAATCAAGAAGTGGCTCAGTAGGATATATTTAGTAAAATTTTATAAAGAAAAGTGCGTACGGTCCGAACATATCATATGGAACCAATCATCCTTTAAAGAAAGGAAATAAATCTTAAAGTTCCAGTTTCATGCATCAACAAATAATTTAATGATAAATTACTTACAGCATCGCTAAGCCATAATTCACCACCGTAGTGGCCCATTCGGGTTTCGGGACCTGCCCCCAAGGATACGATCTCCATATCCCGTTTTCTAGGCCATTAGCGTTTTATCATTTCTAAAATATCTCATTTTAAGAAAATATGTGTTAAAACCTTAATTTAGTTCATTAAGAATTCGATAGCATTATTCATGCTATTTTCTTAAACTAATTTTCTTTATAAAATATATTTCTCAAAACCTCATTTAACACAATGATGGTTTAATAACATAAGTCATGCTATTTTCTCAAAATCATTTTCAAAACGTTTACATAAGCCGAAATCATTTAAAATAAGGCTATTAAGGATATAGATAAGAATATCCTACCTCTCAGATATCAAACTTGTGGCTAGCTTCTCGTTACTCTAGTATCCGCTTTTCTTAAAGCTTCAGTACTTGATATTCTCCACCAGCTTTATCACAAAAGTAACGTTTTAGGATATAATTTTCATTCTTAAAACAAATCAAGTTTAATCATGTCTAATTACTTCCTATTAGTGTGCTTTGACTCAATCTAAGTTTAACAAACAACTTCACAATTCAATTTGGGGTTTTTTAAAATTAAAATTTAGTTTGGTTTCCCCCTTTGAATTTGGACTTAAAAACGAGTTTTTAAAGAAATTTTAACAGCATGCCAACAGAAATATGAAAAATGTCAAATCTGTAATTTAAGTTCAATTTCAAAACAATTCCTCAAGAAATCATTAAAATCAGTTTCCAATCACCTCAACAAGTTCAATATTGAGAACCTCTAAATTCAATCTGATTCCAACAACAATTTGTCTAAATCTAAGCCTTAACTTAAAATTTATTAAATCTAACCAAAATTATAAATTCAAATTCAAGTGTGATTTTTTAGGAAATTTGTATCTTAAATTAATGGGTCTCGTTTTCCCTCTATTTCTCTCTCTCTTTTTGCCTTCTTTGCTTCGGTAGAGACACCGAGAAAGAGAGAGAAGTGAGAGAAAGGGAGAGCAAGAGAGAGAGAAGGACGCCGGTGAAAGGGAGCAGAGGAGAGACCGAGAGAGAAAGAAGAGAAAAAGAAAGAAAGGAGAGAAAGAGAGAGGTGCCGCGGGAAAGGAGAAGAGGGAAAGGAGAAGAAAAAAAAGAAAAGAAAAGAAAAAAAAGAAAAGAAAAAAAAAAGAAGAGAGAGAAAAGGAAAGGAGAGAAAGAAAAAAAAAGATAGAGATAAAGATAAAAAAAAAATTTAAAAATGCACATTAAAAGGTGTTTAAAAGAAAAAGTAAAAGTAAGTACATTTTTAAAATTGAGTATTTAAAATTTTTAATGACATGATTAATTATAAAGAATTATTATTAGGTATATTAATATATCATAATTTATATAATTAAATATGTTTAATTTTTAAGGAGTTATATGGAAACTCTAAATAATGTTGTGTGCAAAATTTATGTTGACGAATCAATGGCATTGTTGCCAAAAGCAATCCGATTTGCCTTCCAACTGATTTGAGAATTGGGGGTGACAAAAGATGATCTCTTTTCCAAGCTGATAGCTTCAGCTGCAATATAAAGAAGAAAAAGTAAGATAAGGAAACAAAAAGAACTGTTCTTACCCGCGTGCGTTTCCATAAAATGAGCATGAACGAATGAATGCAAAATGTCTGCAGCAGTAGACAACCCGATAATTCCATCTGTATAGAAGCTGGATAAAAGTAACCAATAATTTACCATTTTAAATATGGATCCATATGAACAACAACAATAAAGATCAGTAATGAGAAACACAACTACAATGTCCACCTGGAGAATGTGGATAAAATACCTCCAAGCATAAGTCTCAAAAACCACTACAACAATTCCAGTATTGAAAAAAAAAAAAAAAAAAAAAAAAAAAAAAAACAATCCTCATTCGGGCATTTAAAATTCATTGTAATCTTATTATCTCAACAAAGCTTAGTCTTTTCCTTCTTAGAGCACATAAAGGTCTATTACCTGAAAGTAGCACAAATAACAGTGGCTGATTTCTTTCCAACCCCAATAGCACTTAAATACAGCCTCAGACCATTTCACTCACACAAATAGATTTGTTTAGTACTCTCAAATGAACCTTCAGAGCATTGAAAGAGATAAGAGGTAGAGAGATTAAACTGAGGCTTACTTGTGTTGAAATTAGGAATATTAGGAAATTAGTAATGAAACTTCTGTTATTTTATTTTATTAAATTTTGCATGATACATTTCCAAATACAACAGTCGCAACATCAAAATATAATATAGGAACTGAAATTATATATTAAATATAAATAAACTGTGGTAGAAACTAGAAACAGATGTTCTACCTCCTTTTTTTTTTTTTAACACATAATTTTAAACTATGCTAAAACAAAGAAGAGAGAGTGGTCTTAACACAACTTAGACTTGATTTTTTTTTATAAAAAAAAAGAGGAAAAAAAATCTTAAACACTTAAATCTCAAAAGTCCAAACATTAGTTTTCTTGTGGGTCCTCTTGTCTTCACCCTCTTCGACCCTTCTCCTTCATCTCCTCCCTCACTTTCCCTTTTGTGCGTGTGCGTGTGTTCTCCATTGTACGTTATATACACCACATTCAAATGTATGATAATGCACTGCATAGTCCCTAGTCAAGCTTCTCATCTAGTGGCTCATAGCTCCAATTTGCTTTCCAACTGATTGAGGGTGACAAAAGACGTTCTGTTTTCCAACCTGATAACTTCAGCTGCAATGTAAAGGAGAAAAAGAAAGATAAGGAAACAAAAAGTACATACTCGTAACTGTCATCTCTTTCAAACTAGAATCGGAATTGTTAAATTGTGCCTGTCGAGATAAAAAAGGTAGCGGGTTCTCCCAACTAACAGGAACATACTTTAGGGTTCTGTTGAAAATAATTATTCAAAGTTAGGATTTAATTGTTACTTATTGTATTTAGGGGTGTTAGTTAGAATAAAAGATAAGATCCTCCGTGATCTTCTCTTTGGTTTCTGTTTCCTGAATTTTAGGAACAGAACCGTGAGTCTCCTAGATATTTTCTTCTTCCACCGTGTATATATGTGTACTAGTTCTCTGATCTAAATAAGAAAAATAGTTCTCACGTTTTTCTTCACGTTCACATAGCATTTATTTGCTCTTCATTCAAATAATTAGATTCACTTTTTAACTGTTGGATTGTTGCAAATCCAGTAGTAGGAAAAAGCGCTCAAAGTACCTTCTGAAGAAAAACTTCATAATTTCCATCCATCCATGATTGGCTTTCGGTATGCACAGAATTGTTCTTATCCGTGAGAGTTTCCATAACGTGAGCATGGACAAATGACTGCAAAACGTCTGCAGCAGTAGAATCCTTGTGCATAATGACACTGATAATTCCATTCCTTTCTACTAGTAAGTACTTTGCTGAAAAGACCAACAAAGAGAATGAAAAGCAGCAAGAGGTCAGTGGTTGAAATTTCTTCGTTGAGGGTGGTATGAGTTAAGTAAAAAGCTAACCTTTTCTGTAATGAGATCCTGCGTAATGCAACAGGCCCTTCCTGCTCAAAATTAATCAAATTGTCAGTCGACAGAAAATACTATATTAAGCATTAACAAAAAAAAAAAAAAAAAAAAAAACCCAAGTGATGCCCATAATCCTGAATGCTTTGACAGAGAAATAGTGATCCAAATAGTAGGGAGTGTCCTCAACCATGGTTGCAAAAATGCTACAAAGAACATCATTGTTCTTCAAAGAATACATGTTTAGGACGTCAAAAACATCCTAATACTCCAAAGAACCTACATGTATGAGACAAAAAGAAAAACATGCCTAAAAACTCACAGTTCCAGGCGACTAAGTGAAGAGACCCTCACGCCTAAGCGTACTCGCGTATGTATTAGTTTGGAATTCTTTGAGCTCTGTAAAGATGTCCATACGGGTAAAATATGCTCCCTCTTAGATACCTGTTCAGGGGAGAGAACTGGAAGAACATTCAGATGCAGAGCATTAAAGTTATATGCACTGAGGGAATATGCGGTTGATCTCAAGTTAATGACAAACTGGAGCAGCAAAAAAGGATTTTAGGCTTTAGGGACAAATGTTTAAAGGTCAATTGCATTACCTTGGCCAGTCTCCATGAAATGCTGCAAAAGAATTGAGCTCCTTTGAGGGTTCAGTGAATTCAGCGCAAGGCACTGAACAGCCTTGTAGTTCGCTGCATACATGAAAACAATCACATAATCAAATTAATATAAGCCATAGTTTTTGAATCCACATATCACGATCACCTTTGGGTGGAAAAATATATAAAAATTTCCCCGGGAAAGGCTGAAAATAGGATTGTATTTATTTCCCGACATGAAACTATTTCCTTCCTTCCAAACCCATATCCCTCCAGCTGTCCATCCATCTCTTCCTCTCTGATGCAATTATTTCAAACGACCAAAATGAACCCATTGAATTATCAATCTTTTATTCCTCTACATGAACAGGAAAAATCTGGTGGTGCCCGCAGATTCTCTAGATATCAGAGCATTTTTATTGTCTAACTAATATCTCCATATTAGACACGGTAGTAGCAAAACTTACCGTACATATGGAACATGGTGAGAGCCAAAAAAGAAAACCAAATAGCATATGGATTTCCCATAGTAACCCGAGCAAGAAGCATACCCACCGCCATGCCAGACATTGTTGCCAATGTCTCTTGACTTCCTTCCTTTTAGAAAGAAACTTAACGGTCAGTACTGGCAATTTCATACAATATTTCAGGGCTGTCATCCAAGGGTGAGAATATTGTGCAAGTACCTTGGCAGATATATCCGCAGC